GATGGTGACAGATGCTAAATCTTGGAGTGATGCTGAAAATAATTGCAAAGCATTTGGTGGATATTTAATGTCCATTCATGATCAGTAAGAGAGGGCACTATTTACTTTATATTTTCTTAGGTATCTGAGGCAGAACAGGGTCATGTATTACAAAGCTCGGGGATGGGGGGAATCTCCTCCCTTATTGTTCTTGTTGGCGACATAGGGATTATTTATTTTCACTTCAATTTAAGTCCTCGTTTGGGGACTGGTTGCCACAAATACTGTTAATTTCATTTCATTATTTCTGTCAAAAATACAAAAGACAAGAACAGACAGACGCAATGAGAAGCAACAACAGTAGAGAGGAAAACCAATAAGCAAACTAAATCAACTATCAAGTGGTTTCCCCAGAACACATAAAAATATCACAAACATAAACAACAAGGTTAAAATATAAATTATTTGAAATGTAAGAATGAAGTAAATGTCAATTGGACCCAGATGAAACTAACATGCAAAATTGAGCCTGAGGTGGGAAAAGTTCATACTGCTCTGGCTCAACAGGAAAAAGATGTTTTCACTCTTTTTAGCAATTTAAAAAACTATCATTTTGATCTGTAGGTATGAACAAGCATTTATTGCTAGCCAGTTGAGTTTATCAAATGGAATGAATTTCTGGATTGGTTTGAGTGACAGTGCAACCCCAGGAACATACAAATGGTCAGATGGTACATCAGTCACCTACACAAACTGGGCACAAGGTCAACCAGGTTAGTCAGTGTGCAAACCAGTAAAGTATTTGCAAATGTCATTCATGCTAATTCACATTGAGAGACACTAAAAAAGTATAAAACAAATAATGCATGTTTCTAATTCATACAATGTGGTAGAATATTTCATTCCGTGAAAGATTGAATGTTGTATTCAACTCAACTACGCCTTGTTGAATAGATCATCCAGTCTTTCACTTCATGAAATATTCTACCCAATTGCACTCGTAAACATTCATTATTGGTATATTAATTTCAGTATTTTTATAGCGCTCTATACTGGTATCTCGCAGCACTTTTTCCCCATGGTCATTGGATACAAAATCAATCATACACAACGTGCAACCCTCTCTGCTCCCTGGGGAAGTATTCCTAGTTATGTGTGTATAATCAGCACTAATTTTCCCGAATCATTCACCGCCTACCGGGTACACATTTATTCAGGGTGAAGAGAGGCAAATGCCCGAGTAGACAAGCAGTGTGATGAGCGTTTGTCTCCAACTGTCCACTTGAAAGTCCAATGTCTTACACGCTGCACCACATGCTTCTACATGACCATATATAGGCACATCAGGACTATATATGGGCATGATGACATCACATCATGACCATATATAGGCACATCAGGACTATATATGGACATACAACAGTATTTTGTACAAGAAAATTTGATAATCTGGACAGGCCATTATATTGAAGAATTGTTCATTAGAAGCTTATCGTAAATGTAGTAAAGTATATGATGAAAATCACTGTTTTCACACATTTTTTTGTTAATTTAGATGACAGTGCCGGACTCTGTGTTTCCATCACGTCTGGAGACTCTGCCGGCTTCTGGATTGATGCAAGTTGTGCACTTGGCCTGCCCTTTATTTGCGAAAAGAGTCGACTTGGTTACACTCGCCCACCTTTTACAAATCCACCAATTGTAACACAGCCAAATGATCGTTCTTGTGCTACAGGATGGATTGGCTATGGAAGTTCCTGCTACATGGTGAGATTCCTATTTATTTATTTGTTTATTTTTTTATTTGTTTGTTTATTGTTGATTTTTTTATTGTTTACCTGTAATTGTTTTGTGTTTGTTTCCTTTTTTTATGTATTTTTTATTTATTCACTTAGCCTTTACAGCTAAAGAGGACTCCAAAGATGTAAACGTGAATACAGTAAACAATATTACATTAACAAAGTCCATTAAACATGATTAAGAAACAACACTGAAATGTGAAATGATTTCAAGAGTAAATTGCAATAAACTTTCTTTGATTTTCCTAATATTTTGACCAAATAAAATCTATTTAGTAATGAGTTAGTATTTAATTCATATAAGTTATAAAGGAGAGAAATATAAAATATTTATTCAGCTCTTCAATTATGTTTAAAATTTTATTTAGCCGAATGAGGTACAATCATCTAGAGATCGTCTTACATGGTTGGATGCCAGACAAGCTTGCTTAAGTATGGGAGGTGATCTTGCTAGTTTCCACAGTGCAGCGGAGGAGGCATACATACTAAGTAGATTCACTCCTATGTAAGTAAATCATCATTGAACTTAATTTTTTTTTGTGAGCCCATATACATTTATGATTGAAGATTGGATTTGCATGTGTGCTCCAAGGGAAAAAAAATGTAAAAACAATGAGAAGACGATGTACAATCATTGAAGGTTGACTTACCTGAAAAAGGTGCAATTAATGTAATAATTAATATCTAATATTTATGCAATTTTGTCTGGGTTTTGTTCGAACACCTCACATTTTGGTTCACCAAAATTTCTTTGGATGTTGTTCTATGAGAACAAATAAAATTTCTTGTATCTTGTACATAAAATAAAAGGGAAAATATATGAACACACAAAAAACCAAACAAGTACAGGGTAGAATGATACAGTATTCTGTAAACTTCATTTATAACAGATGCTCAGGGAGTGATTTTGTGTTCAATTTCAAATATATGAAACATGCAGGCTGCCGTCACCTTGACCTCTGACGACTGGTGCCAACAAATTGTTCACAAAAACGTGATGCAATAATGACAAAATGATTTATTATTTATTCATTTATTTATTCTTTCTTTATACTGAATATACACTTTCAATATTTATAAATATAATTGTATCTTGAACACACAAAAAAAAACAAACAAGTATAGGGTAGAATGATACAGTATTCTGTAAACTTCATTTATAACAGATGCTCAGGGAGTGATTTTGTGTTCAATTTCAAATATATAAACATGTAGGCTGCCGGCACCTTGACCTCTGACGATTGGTGCCAACAAATTGTTCACAAAAACGTGATGCAATAATGACAAAATGATTATTATTGTTTATTTTCAGTAATCTGATAATGTTGAATGATTATTAATGATTTTTTTTTTATTATTGGGAATTAGAGATCAAGAAAATGCATACTGGCTGGGCTACTGGATTGGGCTCAACGATCAAGTCATTGAGGGAGGTACAGTATTGCATGCAACTTACTTCTCAAATTTCTATTTTCATTTTATTTCTAATCTTAATTTTTTTTGCCATTACAGATTTTTAAATAGTACCATTCTGATAGTCTTTGCACATAACCCATAAATTTCTGGCAAATTATCTGTAAATCATTGAAAACTTTTTTTTATTTATTTTATTTTTTTATTTATGAAAATTCTTGGGAGGCCAGATAGCCACATAGTCATCATGTCTAGTGGCTAATGATTAGTCTCCCCTTAACTAAACTTAATCAAAAGACAATCATAAAAAAGTAACATAAATTGCAAACAAGACAGCAAAGCAAAGCTTTTAAAAATATTCAATTCAATTTTGTTAAATTTGAAAATAGTTTTCAAGTCTACCACTGATTGTGGTAGACTATTCCAGAGCAAAATAACGAAGGGATAAAATGAGGATTTAAAGGACAGATTTATTTGCAAATTTGATTGCCAGGCTTAACTAAGATATCTGTAAAAAATATAATAAATTAACCTAACAAAAATAAAAAATACACGCCATCATGGTGGGATTCAATATTTTGACATTAATTATGTCATCATCAGGAACTCCTGATGATGACATAATTGATCTCGAAATATTGAATCCCGACACGATGACATGCATTTCAATACTTGAAGTATGTATTATACTATCTTATTTGAGAAAAAGAAAAAATGTAACAATTTTAAATAGGAGCGACAATAATAATGTTTGTTAATCTGTGACCTACTGAAAGTGTTTTATTTGTTTTGATTCAAAGGTTTTGAATGGAGTGATAATACACCTGTTGACTATACAAATTGGGGAGATGGTGAGCCAAATGACAGTGGATCTGAAGAATGCGTTGAGATGTTTTATGACGGACAACGAGGCTGGAACGACATCGATTGCTCAACTCCCCGCAACTGGGTTTGTAAAATCGATAAAGGTGTGACGCCTGTAACACCAACACGAGATCCTGGTGCAGGTACATGCTATAAAAATAATATTACAAAGAATATATAAAAATATGTACTGTATTTATAAAAAAAAAATTGTATTTTCCCAATCGGGATTTAGGCCCAATGCCTTTTGTAATAATAATAATAATAATGACGATAATAATAATTATTATTATTATTATTATTATTATTATTGTTATAATTTATTATTATTATTGTTTTTATTATTAATAACAATAATAATAATAATTAATAATATTAATAATAATAATAATTAATAATAATAGTTTTATATAGAGCCGTATCCATCTAATATAAGATGCTCAGATTATTTTTTTTTTATTCATTTATTTGTTCTTTATACTGGGTTTTCTCTTCAGTAACAAATTACTGTTCACCCAGAGGGTCCAGTACACATAAAACATTGAAATTCGAAGAATTTACAAATCATTAAAAAGTTATTCAAAAATAAAATTTTAAAAAGCCATCACCACAACGCTAAATTCACAAGCGAAAAAATAAAATAATTTGAAGAACACAAATCATTCAAATTCATTGACCCGCATGGACAGAGTTCGTCAGATGCTTGATATGTGGACTAGGAACTCGATCAATGACTTTCTTCGCCACTAAGGGTCTGTACTACCTGGTAAACCGGTACCAGTACACCAGGGTATCCCCCTACTCATCTCGAAGGATGCACTAGGTTCTTTATAGTGCACACGAGCCATTGTATACACTGGGCCTACGGTTTATAGTCTTATCCGAGAAGACTAATTGTTCTACCACCAGAAACATAGGTGAGCGTGCTGTTCAAAGCAGCGCC